CGACAGATGGGAAGAGATCCATAATTTATTTTAGATATAATGCCATGCACTTATATTTTGTGGTGAAGTTTTCATTATCTTGGTTTACTACCAGCTAAAAATTGCTAATTATAAGTAACCTCTTTACTTGCATTTTTTTAACTAATTTGAGGCCAGCTAGGAAGGCCTCATAGTCCATGATATTGTTAAAGGCCTAAATCCAAGCCTTAACGCACAATTGAGCTTATGGCCTTTCAAACTTACCAAGACCACTTTTGCTCTAAAGCTTGTATTTCTAGACGAGCCATTGATGAAGTGGCTTCAATTTCAAGACTCAATGGGTTCCACTATCTCCTCTATCTCAGTAACGGCTGGTAAATTTCGCCATAGAGTCTGCAAGAGGCTGGACCCTTTATGAAGTTTTTTTAATTGAAGAGAATGTTAAACTTACATAACTCTATAGCACACTTCATCAACCTCTTAGAAGCATTTGGCTTCAGAGACATTTTCTTAAATGGAAAGTTTGTTAGCACATTGGTGTGCTATTGGAGGCAACCAAAAGTAAAACTTATACTCCTAAAAATATATGTAGCGGTTCGAGTAAGGATCATTCCCACAGAGAGTATCTAGCTTAGTTTATGCTATGTAAATAAGGACTGGGGGTTCTGAGAATAACGAAAACAAAGTTTTAAGAAAGTAACTATGAACAATTCGAATTAAGAATTGAAATCAATCAAACGAACAAACCTTGGTTTAAGTTAACATCCGCCATTGAAATTTTACAACAAATCATTAATCCACGTATATATATACTTTCAGTATTCATCGTTGGAATCATCTTCCTATCTCTCCTTAATTACAGTTAATTAGAAAATAGACAATCGAATTAACCCTAATTAGTAAACAACCCAAGATAAGTGTTAAAGGTTTAATTAGGTAACAATTTTAAGAATTACAGAGATCAATGAAACTAAACAATACAAGCACAAGGGGTTGATGAGTGTATTTCACTCATACTTTAGATACCATCTAAACTTGATATTTAACTAATTTTTATTAAGTTTCAGAGCGTTTTAATGTGTGTTTTGATGTTGTGATATAGGTTGGTAAAATTAAAAGAAATAAGCAAAAGTCGGCAAATTTGGAAAAAAGGGCTAAATTCTAAACGATTCAAAGTTTGAGGACTAAAGTCCAAATACTCATCTTAGAATGAGGATTTGAGAGTATTATGGGTTAATTGATGAAGAAATATGTCAAAGGGATCAAATATTATCAAAGTATTATCATACATCAATTTCCAATAAAAAAAAGTNTGGGTTAATTGATGAAGAAATATGTCAAAGGGATCAAATATTATCAAAGTATTATCATACATCAATTTCCAATAAAAAAAAGTAAGGCCATGAATTTTTAGTCTCACGTTGAGACCCATTTTCAACATACCAAATGATCAAAGTGGAAGGTGTTATCTGAATTCAAAATTATAGCCCTTTGCGTTATCTTTCCAATGCATCTTGAATCGCCTCAATTTGATATCGGGAGAAAAAGTTATAACAAAAATATTGAAGGATGCGTAGTGCTGTCTTCCACCTGACAGGGCACCAGTGCCCATGCTGCTAAAAATAATAGAATTCACAGTGCCTCAACGTTGCTACAATAGCATCGAGGCACTGTCCTGCAGGAAGAGTGATCTTAATGTTTTTGGATTCTTTTCATGGTTCAACTCAACCCTAATTCTTCCAAAACTTCAAGATGCTATAAATATAGCCGTAGCGACCACTTTTTTTAAGAGGAGAAAAAAGGGAAATTTTGATTCTATATTTCATACAATTCAAAGGAGAAAAAGGAAGAGTTCAACCGGACAATAAAGAGGCAAGAAGCGAGCAATCATAAAATAATCAAGAACAAAATTGCAAAGGAGATTGAAAATCTACCAAAAGTAGTTTTTCTATACTCTTTTCTAAGTTGTTTATTTGAATTTGATTATTTCTATGGCTTCTATCATGAGCTAAATTATTCTTCTATAGTTTGATTAGCCAAAGCTTGAGAGTATGATTTGAATTTATTTTAGTTATTTCTATGAAATTTTCCATTCCGTTTATTTGTGTCATAATTTTAATGCTTTTAATTAATTGGCTTCTAATTGAATGAGTCGATGCTAGTCAATTCCAACACTTGAGAGAGGAGAATTTAGGTGCGATAATAAGATTGACACAACATATATTTTATGGGTTTTGAGAGAAGTATAGAATCTACGAAGTTTATACCATAAAAAAACTACGAATTTGACAAATTCTTGGTTTTAATTTGGAATAGAGATATTGAAATTAAAATTTAGGATTAATTTCTAGCTGGCACTCGAGAGAGGGGGTAAAAATACATTTTTCTTGCTTATAAATTTTCAAAAAATCATTAAAAGTAATATATAATTGAGAATCATATTCGATAATTAGGTTGAGTAATTTTTCAAACTTATTTTGATTTCGTTGAATTTGTCATCATCATCATTTGAGATTTGGTTAGAAATATCACTTACAACATTAATTTATTTAGATCAAAGAGCTACGCAATTATAGTACCTGGTAGAAATTAGATATCAATCCTTGTAGGTTTGACATCTGTACTTGATCTTATATTATAAAACTTGACACCGTACACTTATGTTATAAATCACAATGTAGAAAACGCGTGACAACGATCGCGTTTAATTTAGTCAAGCATTCTTCTCAAGATTTAACAACTTCTGACGTAGCAAACCATCAAATCTTAGTTGCTTTACAAGTTAAACGGATCAAACAATTACAAATTTGATATCTAGCCTGACTGCAGATTGCAACTAATGATAAACTAATAGGCCTCCTAGTAATTAAACGAGACAATCATGAAAATATATATAAAAGAACATCTGATACTCAAAACATAAATTGAACGATGAAAAGAATTCAGATTTCACAGTTTCATTGATTCCGAGGCTTCAGTTTTCTTCAACCAAGTATAAAAGTTTAGCTACACATGACCGTGGATGAAAATTGAAGGAAAAAAATAAGAGAGCCTGAGTGTAACACAACATGCTTGTTTTTCATATTTATCATGTCTATCTATATTATTATTAATGTTTAATTTATTTTAATTGATTGCTATTAAAATAATGTTTTTATTTCATTTCGTATATGAACTAAGTGTACCATTAACTACGTATTTATAATTATATATGTTGTTTGTATATGTATAGATGAGTGTGTACACACACATATATGCATGCATGCATGCATGTATGTATGTATGTATGTATGTATGTATGTATG